GGGTTCGGGCGGGTACCCAAGGGGGCGGGTTAGATTGTCATGCCTATATATGAGTATATAAATTATATTATTTTAAAGTTTGTATAAATAGATATTTTTGCATATATTAATTATAATTTATATTTATAATAAATAATTTATATTATAATACAAATTTAATTTTAATTATTAACAATTTATTAAAAATATTATATTTTAATTTAAAAATAAATCTATTAAATTTGAAATAGATAAAAAAAATCTTAAAAACTATCTTGTTTAAGAATTTTTTTTTAAAAGCGCTTTGTTAAAGAGAAGCTTATAAAAATCATCTCGCTTAGTTATTCTCATTGATATATTTACAGTGATTTTTGAGTGACCCATTTAGGGTCAATTGTGAAACAAAATATAAAACTATAGCTCTTTTTCAAACATTTTGGTTGACTTTTTCAGTAATTACGGTAAAATATTTTTTCTAAAACATCGTTACTAAGAATTAAAAGTACATAGTTTATGGGCCAACTGAGAAAAGTCTTTTAGTTTTTGTTCCAACTTAGAACCAGAAGTAATCTCAAAAACAAAGTACAGCTTTTGTAATATTCGGGAACAAAAAGGAAAAAAACTTTTGTAAGGACTAGAACAAATCTTATTTTTTAGGGATTAAAAAATAATAAATGTAAAACTAAAGTTAAATTATCGGTTAATTCTTAAACTATTTTTTTTTTTTTCGTCCCTGGAGTATCCAGGGCCGACAGCAGTGACTAATCTCCTCGCTACGTTAGAGGCACCTCAAAGGGTGGGATAGCTAGCTCCAAGATTTAACGTGGCTGCATACACAAGGCAGAATTCGAACTCTTGACCTTGCTTAAGCGTGGATCAACCCCTACCGCTGAACCACACGCTTGAGGTTAGTTCTTAAACTATTTGAGAGTTTATAAATAGATTTTTAAATTAAAAATAATAATAATAGGGTCCTTAAACTAAAATATGTAGGTCTCTAAGAGAATTTCTTATGTTATTCAAATAGGCAATTTACTTTATTTCTTTAAATGAATCTATACAGGATACTTTAACTTTAAACAACTCAATTTTTCGTTGCAATATAAGTTTCTAATTTTCTACCAAAGTATCCTGGTATAAGATGTCTCTTCTCTCTGTTTTCAATATTTTATTTTTACACGTGAAAATTCATTTCATCCTACTAATTTCTGATCTCAAATTAATTTTGATAAACTTAAATTTTAAAAATTAGACGTGGTATTTGAAGTTAAGTTAGAGATATATTTCAAGTTATTCGAACCCAATTTCATTTCTTATATTTTTAAAATAAATATATATTTTTAACAATTATGTCTTTGTCAGAAAAATTTTTATGTTAAAAATTTCACATTAATTAATAATATGATCAAAATAATACATATAAATAAAGAACAATTATTATTTTGTAAACTAATTTTTTTTTTGAAACTTGAATTGAGATCAAATTGAATTTTAGGATAATGATTAAAATCTATAATAGTAATTTTTTTAATTTGTAACTTCAAAACTATTTTATTATTAGATTTATTGGATCATTTGCTATCAAATGTATAGAGTTGCAATCCAAATATGAAGAGTCTATCATGATTAGGGATGGCTAGGGATGGCAAATAAACCTGTACCCGTGGGTAATACCCGAACCCGTCCCGACTTTGACGGGGAATACCCGCTTTGATCGGGTACGGGTACGGGTAAAACCCGATAAAAGAAATCGGGTACGGGTACGGGGACGGGTATATACTTACCCGCCTCGTCCCTGTCCCCGTTCCCGTCCCCATCCCCGTCCCCGATTAAATACCCGTCCCCGTATAATTATTTTTAAAAAAATAACATTTCAGTTCTAGCTTCTAGGCCACGCTGAGCAAGAGCAAGCAAAAACTTAGGGTTTCAATTTCAAATCTCATTCAGCCTCTGACCAAGCACTCTTCTTTCTCCTTCCGAGCCACCGCATCAGCTAAGGAGCCACCGCACCAGCCACTATACTCTCTACTTTCTCCTTCCGAGCGACTGGTACGTCTCTCTGTCACTCAATCTTCTTTCTTCCTTCCCTCGCAGCGGAAAATCAAGAAATTCAGCCTTCTTGTGAGCTTTCTACTTACTCCTCTGACGGCTTTGCATCAGATTGAGAACATGTGGAGAAAAGCTCGTAGGGCTACTTTTGAAGAAACCTTTAAAAGTTTGGTTATATGGTTCAATAAATGTTTGTTTGATTATATGACTGAATAAATGTTTATGGATTAGGAAGGTTTAGGTTTAAGTGAAGAAGATGGGTCTGAATCGGGATGGGTGGCTGCTAGAACTTCCTGCGACCACCTGGGCGCATTATCCGACGATCTGAGTCACATTCCGACCCCTGACACTCACTACAACACGTGCTCAACTCATTCCCCAACTGCGTCCTGTTTATCAACATCACCTTCCATCTGCAACTTCATTCTAGGGTTAGACTTTAGACTACTGTATTTGCTTATCTTATTTAATTCACTTTTGGATCGTTTAATTCCTTTTCTACATTTGCATAAATCTCAACACTCTAGTAATTATGTTGATTGGAAATTTGAAATTAAAGCTTACAAGTGGATATTTTACTTGATCAATCCCAATGCTTCCCTCTTGTATTTTTCCCCGCGTTTTATACCATTACCTGGCTGATCTGGGAACCACAACTGAGGTGCCACAATGAGATTTCTATGTTGTTGTCATAAATTACGTACATAATGTTGTCTGTTCTTAAATTCAATATGATTTGTAAAATTAACTCGTTTTTCTTTTTCTTTGCCTCTTGATCCTTTATTAACTCTGTTTTCTGGTAGTTGGCATCACTTGTGTGTGTGCTCAAGTTTGTTCTTGTTAAGCAATGGTTCTCAATGTCTTGTATCAGATTTAGCTTCATAGTTAGGAGAGTTCTGTTTCCTCTGTCTCAAGGCAAAGTTCTCAGATTGCTAAACATGTGATGGACTACTGATTTGTTCATCAAAATTGATTTCACCACCCTCGCTTGCATTCTCAAATCAGATTCCCCTCATTCTCCCTCTCTAAGTTCAGAGGCCCCCTCTTTGTCTCACTTGCTCTCTCATCTCTATGATCTAGTTTCTATTCAAAACATGTGATAAAAAATAGCATAGCATCAAATAAACCAGCCATCATAAGATGCTAAAAGGTAAACACAATAGATGTTAACAACATTTCCTGATAGCTGTTAATAACTCTACCAGGGCAGGCATGGACTAGCATAGAAAAGCAAACCAAAATAAGCTGGTAAAATAGTTCAGTTTGAAACCAAACCAGTTTTACTTTTGCCGAAGAGGTTTGCTTTTTGGTGAACCAGTTCAGATCAAGCTTTAAACTGATTTAGGTTGGAAGTAAACCAGTTCAGAACCGGTTTTGAATTTAAAACTGGTTTTTAATATGAATATAACCCAATGAAAATCAGTTTATAACCTGCAAAAATTGGTTTTTCCAAGTGAAAACAACAGGTTCAAAAATAACATCACTTGGCCATTCATGTGCAAAGGGTTATCTATCCACTTTATGCCTAATAAATATAATGCGATTCAGAAGTAAAACAAAGGAAAGAAAACTCTGTTCCACTATTATTCCAATCTAATTTTTCAATTCTAATTTTTAAAATTTTCATTCATAACTCGATTCTAATTTTTTATAAATTGTCTTATGATAGGTGGACTGAAGCTTAATGACATTACTCAACATTTTTCACTTGCAAGATGAATTTCAATTTTTATTTGAGAGATTTCAGTTTATTTTGTTATTTCAACTCAACATTGTGGTTGTTTATTTGTGACATTACTCAACATTTGTGGTTGTTTAATTTGTAAGATTTTAATTATGTGTGGTTATTTATTATGATGTGAAATATTTGTAATTATTAACAAGTCTCTTGATTAAAATATGAGATAGACAAATAACCCAATTATCATTGTAATATGACATAAAGATAAGTTAAAAGTATTTAAAAAAAAAAATTTTAAAAATTATTTTTTTACGGGTACAGGTACGGGTACGGGTATACCCGATAC